CTCTTTATTGGTATTACACTGTAAATTCTCCATCTTATCTTGTTATTTTTATTTATTTTTTCCTGAATCAAGTGAAAAGATCTATCTGTGCAGTAAGATTAGGTCAAACAATTTCCAGTACAAGTCATCTGTGTGATTCTGTGCAAACAGTGCAGTAGCAGATTTACTCTCTCGTTTTAAGAAAATAAGACTAAAGGCATACATTGTTAACTCGGTGTACAGTATGACTGAGTACAGGGATTTTTCATGTCATATTGCCTTTAAAATGTCTGTTTGAATTAGCTCTTTTAGTGTTAAGATTGGTTGAGAGTAGTAAAGTGTGTGTGTTTCTAATCTTTTTAGTTTCAACTGAATTCACATATACACATACTGTAATATATTTTGCACTGTTATCTGTGCAATATGTTTCATGCAGTTCTGTTGAAAAATTGTGAGAGTTTACTGAACTTAAACTCTTTTGTGCTTAACAGTAACATAATCTAATAATATACGATAGAAGAAAGTGAGTTATCTCAGGGAAATACTGTGGATATTATTGTAACATCAACAGAGCTTGCACTCTCTACTCCTGTCTTATTACTCTCTGTCAATTGTGGTATTTTTATAGAAAAAGTACATTAAAGTTCTCGCTGAGGAAACAACGCTGTATCACTCTTTAATTCTCCCCATGTTTCAGCAGGAATAACACATTTAACCTCCAACATCTGCTGAACGTTTTAGGAATCCTCCTCCATCACTTTCTCTGTCACTGTAATGTGTCTCATCTAATTCATTTCATTACAGTTAAGTACATCCTTCTGTCTGGAAGCACGGAGCCATCATATGAGTGTTTTCTTTAATGGCATTCAAAGTCCATTTTACAGAAACACACACACAAACACACACACACTGCTTCCTTCCATTAAATCTCAGATCTTTCTTTCTTGAGATAACTTCTAACTCTCAGGCACATACAAATACCCTTTTATCACGGTTTTTAGCTTCTTACCTTTCCTGCACAAGCTCTTGTTTACTTTAAATACATGTATTTATGAGTATATTTGTATATCTGTATATATATATATATATATCTGTGTAAATGCCTTGTGTAGATTTTATAATAACATTAATAATAACAGACTACTATTCTACTAATACTAGAAAAGTCCTCTTAAAGTTCGCTAAACTAAGAGACAAAAAACATCTATATGAGCGTTTTTCCCACTGTTGTGTGTGTGTGTGTGTGTGTGTGTGTGTGTGTGTGTGTGATGCAGCTGCTGTGTGTGCGCCCTCTAATGTATTTCTTATCTCTGGGACCATAATGAATTAGCTCTGCTCTCAGATAAGATAGTAGGCGTGTTTGGTATTGATGTGGGCGTCTGCAGTTAATGTAGCAATTGGCTCCCAACCTCTTTAGATGTGAAGATACGGGCCAGCGTGTGAAGGCTTTTCTCATTTAAGAAAGCACTGATAGCATCGCTCCCACACAAGGATGCAGAGATGGATTTAACTGTAATGAGATAAATTAGACGACATAAAAGGAAGGAAAAGGATGTTACTGTATTTGTTGAGGCGAGTACATGAGAATCTATATCTTTTGTTTTTGATCTGCTGTGGTCTATTGTCTTCCTCAGCCAATATAAGTTTGCTCTACTGCCTTTAATACTAACAAATTATGACAATGACCAAATAATTGCGACTTTACATTCTGAATAAACATTATCCAGCAGCAGAAATGCTCAGAAAAAGATTAGTTTTTCAGGTTAAAGTGCTAACTTAAAGAGTTTCGATCTTTCTCTGCTCTGGTTGGTTGTTTTCTTTCGGGCCCGGTGGATTCTTACAAATACCGTTAGGAGCACCAGGAGGAGTGAGAGGAACCTGATTATTTCACAGATTATCTCATGTACTACTGTCAGGATGTAGTGAAAGTTTCAGCAAATACAACAAAATTATTTTCATAAAAGCTGCAGCTTTAAGGACCTGTAAAATAAAGTGTTACAAAAAGCATTTGTTTTTGGACCAGGCAATGTCGCATAAAAACAGGGAAGTAGTGTCCCAGCAAACCCAGAACCAGGAAAAACCCCTTGACCAAAAGAACCTCTAAGTGTATAGACAGGGGTGTCCACATACATTTGGCCATATCTTATACTGGAGATCTGGGAAACGGAGGCAAGTGGTTGCTTTTTTTCTTCTTCACAAAGAAGATATGATGGTTCTTTTGTGGAAACAGATGAATGGATCAATAACCTCACATTGGTACATTTTCCTCTGAATGATCACAGGAATATTTCTCTCAGCTTGTTTTTGCTTCTCATCCTTTTGCTCCACTATTGACTGCTTGTCTAAAACTGTGCTTCACACACAGAGAGTGTTTTTCACGTTTCAGTGATTCTCTCTGATGATCATCCTCCTCTCTCAGCGTCACAAGTTGATTCACTGTATGTTAGTCAGCGACTCTCCATTAACCCCGAGTTTGTCGAGGTCAACTTCACTGCAGTGTCCCTTCAGACCTGCTGAGCCACACAGGGCTGCAGCAGAGCTCTGCTCTTTATGTCACTGAAATTACCTCCCCCTCTAGTATTTATGTGTTTTTAGGCTGACAGCTTCAGTTAATGGGCTCCACAAAGTATAAAAAAGGGAAAGCAAGTAACTTAATAACAATTACAGCATTTATATGTTTACATACTGGAACTACAGAACTGTCTCCTAGAAATCACGCTGGTATATCACTAATTACTTTGCCTGGACAAGTCCAAATCAAGTCTCAAGATATTTTTGGTGTATTTAAGTGTATGTCAACTCAGTTTAAAGTCAAGTGTAAAGTAATCTAAATCAAGCCTCAAGTGATAAAAAAATAAATAAAGTTGCCATTAAGTGGCGAGTCATTTTTCAAAAGTCCAAATTAAGTCTCAAGTCATTAGAAACATGTCCGAGTCTTAAAGTGTCACAATATTTATATATTTGCAGTATTATGATCTGGGCATCTTGAATGAAATGCCATTATGGTGCGTTCCAGTTGGAATTTTCAACTGGAAACTCGGAAATTCCGACTTCACAGTTCAAATGGTTCAAACTGAACATTTCCTACTGCTGCAGCTTCACATTACTTCACTTCACAAGGTGAAACACAAGCTGACTTTTATTATGGAGTAACCACAGAAAACAGAGTGTGTTTATCAGTGAGTGTGTTTATCAGTGAGATTAGCACTTCAAAAATGCATCTACAATAGAAGACACTGGTCATTTTCAGCATTTTATTGACCGCGGCTCAGTTTGACATATTGCAGGGATAATGGAACAAGAAGGAGCCGCAGTGAGATGTTAGAGGAAGAGCTGCAGGCGACAGGCTGCAACTTTCCAGCGAGGTAACCAACTACTTTCACTTTCGCTGTTCACAGACTGATGCTGTGTGCAACATAAAATCACTCACTCACAGAATGATAGAAAGGCCAATTATTGCCTGACTTCTTTATTCATTTGCCCAAGAATTCTGAAACTTGTATTATTACCAGAAACTACAGGTAACTACTGAAATCTCATTTAGGGCAGGTCCAGTCAAGTCTCACATTCAAGTCTAAACTAAAGTGCTACTGCTACTATATTCACGTCTACAGCTCTCAGTAATACTTCTACTACTGCTTCCATTGTTAATACTAAATGTCTATTAACTTCCACTACTACTGCTCATGCTGATGTCAACAACTGCTGCACATATGTTTCATTAAAAGTAAGTCTTCAAGTCTTCCAGAAGCTCAATGGGCACACTCCCTCCCTTTCCTGAGAGACTTTTAATGTGAAAAATCTGCAGGAAGCACCACTGACAGCAATTTAGCATAACTTAGCATAATTTAAAGCAAGCTGGAAACACCTGGGAATAATTACTAAATAGAAACTGTGTTTCTGTTTAAAGGGGGAATGTGGAGTGGCAGATTGGTGAGTACATGACTCTGGAGTGCTGTGGGACTGAATCTTTCACAATGGTTATTATGATGGTAATCCCCAGAGGTAGCAGTGACTCCCAGCTGTGCCACTCCATCATTGATCAAGTACACCTGATCTGACCTGCTGCTGCTGCCGTTGGGTCTTTAATAATTCAGCTCCCTCCTCCTTCTGACCTCTCCTCCATCTGTGAAGATCAAGCTGGTGTAAAGTGATTACTCACTGTGGCTGACACAGTCCTCAACTAAACCTCCCTCATGGCTGAAATATTTACTGGGGTCTCTGTAGTTGTGGGAGGTGTGGGTGCAAAAAGCATCAAGTCCCAGTCGATCCCAGTTAAACTAAACTTCCAGACTGTTTATCTTTTGGAAGAGTAAGAAATCCCAGAGTGCGACTTATTTTGTTGTTGTTAACCAACTTGTGCATTAGGGCCGTTACTTTTTAAACTGAAGTAGTTTGATCCTGTGGACGCGTATTCCCATGCTTCCCATTCATTGTCTAGCAGAGAAAGTTTCCAAACGAGCCGCCATGTTGGTCTGGTATGAGATCCGGGAGCAGAAGACATTTGTCCAATCAGGTGCAGTGTTTGTGCCATTGTAGGAAGGTGTAGCCTTCTTAAAGAAACTTTCTGTTTCCACCAGTAACCGCCAGAGTTGCGACCAAGTCATTGTTTTCAAGTCACAAGCAAGTATCAAGTCCTAAACTTTGAGTTTCGAGACCATACAAAAGAGTAATAATCCATTAAATTTACACTAACAAGTGCAACTGAGTTAATCATGAAAACATAGTGCTGAAATTGCACTTTCATAGCGACAGACTGCACCTAATTGCGACAGACTGCACCTAATTTTGGGTCTTTTTTAGACAGTGCAAGTGTAAACGCCCCCTGGTCCACACCTCTGATAACCACAGCTGTTTCCGAATCAACTGAACACGACGAAATCTGAAAGAATATGACTTTAAAATTGGACATTTAAAATGATAATTTGCTGCATGAACTGTTTTGTTCAACCGTTTAATATTTTTTTCAAAATTACTTTCACAGACTTTAGTGCACATCCGTTCATTCATCCATCGCTCACCTGTCTCTTGGTGTGTTCGCTGACTTCGCCTGGCATGTCGTGGGCACTCTTGATGAGCGTGCGGGCGATGTGGTAGTAATACACTGAGATGATGGCCAGAGGGATCAGGAAGTAAACCAGGAAGATCATCACTGAGTGAATCTTAGGATGCATCTGATTGGACAGCGGGTACGGCACGCAGTTCACAAAGGTGACGTTAGTGTTGTCCCTGTTACCCTGAGAGGGGAGGGCAGAGAAGGAGGGAAAAAGAGGAGGAGGAGAGAGGAAGTGATGAGATAAGGAGGCAAGGAGAGGATGAGGTGAGGAGGGGAAGGGAAGAGAGGAGATAAGAAGAAGAGAGAAGACAAGGAAAGGAAAAGAGTGAAAAGAAGAGGAAACCAGTATATGAGAGGAAATAAGGAGAGGAAAGGAGGGCAGGATGAAAAGAAAAGTAGAAAAAATTAGAAGAAAGAAATATTGAAAAGAGGAAGAGGAAAGGAAACAAGTAGGAAGGAAATGGGAGGGGAGGAGAGGACAGACATAACAACACATCAGTAAAGATCATAAAACAGATTGTAGAGTTAAATGGACGCAGTTGTCATTCATAAATCTGACTCTAAAGGGGTTTATGGCTGTTTGTCTGCAGGGAAACTCCACTGAGACGATGCTGCTCACTGATGAGCCTTCAGCAGGGAGTGATGAACAACACACATTTAGTCTGAATGTCACAGACAGTCCGTCAGCAGGAGCTGTTAGTATCAGATTATGTGGTTGTGGTCAAATTGAGCCAATGTTTGGTAGATTTTCGTGTCACAAACCAGACATGATATCATGGGATGGCGTATACCCACATAGCAAAACTGCTCTGCATATTGATATACCACCAGTGTTTTATATATATAAAAATATAAGTTTAATGTGGTCGACATTATAAAATTCATAATCGACGAAGTTAAATAATTAAACACTAATTAAAGCTGCAGTAGGTAATTTTTATGAAAACAACCAAGAAAGATTTTTATTGTTGAATCTCATTCTAAGGGTGTCAAATACAGACTCTGGGAATGACACTCAACAACCAATTATCTTCAGTTCACCAACCCAAAGTGTCTTCTTTTGTTCCTGTCTAGTTGTATGTGTTCTTAATATATGTAATATAACATTTTCAGTGTCTTAATTTTACCTGCATGGAGACAACTTGTGAGAAAATGGCCTCAGGGACAGCCAGCAGGACGGACAGCAGCCAGATAGAAACAGCCTTCAGACACGTCCAGAAGACAGCGCTGGATGTCTGGATGTCCATCGGGTTCACTATCGCCTTATACCTGGAGGAGGCAGATAGAGAAACATCAATTTAACATTCAATAACAAAACACAAGTATGAGTCACTTCATCAAACACTCATTTTGTGATCAAATGTCGCTGAGCTCCTGAATTTTAATATAAAAACAGACAGAAGAAATGGAAATGGAAAGTGAGTTTGTTTACTGCCATGTTACAGTATGTTTGAATTTGTGTTTTTTTTTTAAATCTATTTCAAGAAAGCAAACATGTATGCATGTACCACACATGTAGGCACAATAAAACATTAATTCCAACATAGAAGTGACTCAATGTTCTCTGCAATTAACTTATAAAAGTGTGCATATATCAGCATTGGTAAAAATAAACTGGAAAATATTGGCATATCAGACATCAGCAAAAATCCAATATCAAGCATCTCTAGTTTATACCTTTGACTTCTGTGTCTTATCTGTCAGAAAACCTTTTATGGAGCAAAGAGAATGGTGTAGCATAGCTAATAGGGTATGCTAGCTTCTTCCGTTTTTGTTCTCTGTTCTCTCTCAGGATAGCACTGTCACGGCAGTTTGCTATTAACTGTATAAGATCCCAAAAGTTTAACTCAACATGAACAATTCACACAGATCTTTCCACTGATTGCTCCATAAGTGAATTGATTTCACTGTATATATCTTTAATGTGTTTGCATTAAGATCCTCTTCCTTGTTTCCAAGTTTTTGAATTGTTGCAGTTTGCTGATGAATAAAACATGATCATCAGCAAATTATCGGAACTGACTCACTAAAACTCTCTGCTCTTGTCAGCCTTATTAATTGAGTATTAAGAATATTAATACTTGCTGTATTATTTCCACATGATAACTGTCTGCCTTTTCAGTATATGATGACACATCTTTGTGAAGCACATACGAACATCCTCAAAACCAGAAACGCCCACCCAGCAGCAGCTCTGGGCACAGTTGCTCCTACAGAGCGGCCACTTCCCCTGGCAAAATATTCTTACTCCCAACTCATCAAATACTGCCACTGGGTCAGTCTTTGCTTCAAAATATGACTCTAGAGATATTTTTCTCTCTTATTTCTGGACGTGTAGGGCTCCGCAAATCAAGTTATCAAGAAAAAACATGCAATGTCTGCAATTTCCGGTTATTAAATAATAAACATGCAATGTTCGGTTAAACTTTCTTTGATTAGGTTTAGACACTACTTCTTTAAATTTAAGTTACGTTACATACCTGATGTTACTTATATATGATTTTAAAAACTGTTCACTTTTGAGTTCACATGAGACACAAACAGCGGTCTCCTGGGCTAAAGTCCTGTGTTTGAACCATTCATCTACCCCACCACCTCCATATGCGGACTGTCTCACTCTTTATACTACATCACCTGACATTGATGCAAGCGTGTCTAGAAATGACACTAGAGGGATAATTAATGCATTATATTTGCGTCAGTATTTGATGACTTGGGAGTGAGACCTGGGTGCATAGCAGCAACACTCAACCTTCATTATCTACGACTGGCGACCTTTGACCTCCCAACACAAGCAGGAGAAACACAAGTAACGTTTTCATACGTTTCTGAGGGACTGCAGGCTTCGACAAACTGCCTGTCACAACAACACCACGCTTGTTATTATTCTGCAGCACACAGACTGAGATATTGTGGCTATATTTCAACAAGGATCTATGAATAAACAGATTGAATCAAACTTGAAAAGGCTGGCACTGTAAATATCCACATTAATAAAAGAGTAAAAACCATTATGAAACGAGCCATCATACCTCTTCAGATTTTCTGGGCTGAAACTAAACATAAATCATCTAATAATCATATTAATTTTCTTTTCACAGCATTAGTGGCTCCAGGCTCTTTGTTAGTTAATGAGAAACTCCAGCAGCCATCGGACGGCTGTGTCTGCAGACTGGAGGACAATGAGAGAAAACAATAGGCCTTTGTCAATCTAATATTAATTATTCTTTATGTGTAATCGCTGAGCTGAATTTTAAAGTCCTCATTAGACAGAACTGATCAGCAATTCAGCTAGACAGGGAAGCAGTGCAGGATTAATTCATTCCAGTGAGTAACAGCCGTCTGTTAATTTCGATGTAGCTGGATGAGGTTTAGCTCAGTTAAACTCAGTATTTATCAGTATAATAATGGACAGAGGAGATGACCAGGGGTACAGAGATATAAAAACCATGTTGAAGGGCCATTATAGTGTCAACAATTGTATTAAAAGTGCAAAACAAAGCCTGTGTTTCTCTAGATTTGGATGAATTAGCAGATCCTGTTTGCACTGTAACAACAGAAACAGAAAATCTCTTGATTTTACTTTTCAATTTATTTTTGATATTATAGCAGATTTATATGTCTTTATTTGCGATATCATTTCTGAAATATGAAATGTACCATTTTTTATCACAATTAAAATAATAATTATAATATTTTACTTATTATCAGCACTTTCATAGACACTTATCATGTTCTGTCCCACTCATGATTACCTAACCCATCAACCATTACTAATAGGTTATGGCAACAGAAATTGGTTAACATGTAAACAATGTTACACTGAATAATGACGTCAAAGAAAGTGATACTCTTTGGGGAGGGTTCAATCTTATCATTATCGTAACTGACATGGGAGGACATTTTGGGTTGAGAGGCGGCATTACAAAATAAAAGGACCAGTGTGTAAGATTTAGTGGAATCTAATGGTGAAGCCAGTGTTTTAATCTGTCCTTTCTGGGCTACTGTAGAAATGTACATGTTAACAATGAATCCTCCATGCACGCAAAAGTTAATGATGGAGTTCTACAAGGTTCTGTATTCAATATTTATGGTTCCTTTAGGCAACATTATTGGAAATTACTCCACTAAATGTCATTGTTATGCAGATGATACCCAATTATATCTACTGATCCATCCTGATCAAATTAATCAGTTTGCTGAATTACATAAAAACCTGGATGTCCTGTAATTTTCCAAAGTTAAACACAGACAAAACAGAAGTTATTGGACTTGGCCCCAAACTCCTCAGAAACACATTATCCAATGATCTAGTTACATTAGATGGCATTACCCTGGCCTCCAGTACCGCCGTAAGGAATCTTTGATCAGGATATATCCTTTAATTCCCAAATAAAACAAACTTCTAGAACTTTTCACCTACGCAACATAGCACAAATCAGGCACATCCTGTCCAGTCCAGTTATCTTTTATTTAATTGTTATCAATGATCGATGTATTTTCGCTGTGAATCTAAAAAAAATGTATTACTTAAGTGTAGTAGACTAAAATAAATACACAAAACAAACACTATTGTCTGCTTTTGCTCAAACAAACTGTGTCAGCATGATGAGCCAAAAAGTAAAAAATATTTCAGCTTTATCTGCATTTACAAGCTGGCAAGAAGAAGACGTAGTTTATTTGTCTGATGATTTTATTATTTACCTTATGTATTTATTTTAACAAATTCTAATCTATTGTATATTTGATTCTACATTCCTTGAAATTGTGAAATGCTGTTAATTTATAATAATAATAATAATAATAATAATAATAATAATACATTTATTTGTAAAGCACTTTCAGGTCAAAGTGCTGTACAGAGCATAGGAAATACAGTTTAAAAACATTTCCATATAATGATTATTTATTATTTATGATCCTTCATGTTTTTTTCTTCTTACTTCATCATTTTTTCCCTTATATATAAGAATTTCCCCATTGGGAATTAATAAAGTTAATCTTCTTCTTATTATCATTTTAATATTATTTTGCATGGGGTTTTTTTGGAAACCTTTTATATTTTATCTTCCATGTGCTACTGCTGTCTTGTCCAGGAGAAAATACAGAGGATCTGATTGATGTACTTCTACTGGTTACATAAGGTTATAAAGAGTATAGTTTGCAAAGAATTAGAAATTATATTCTACAGCACCGATTGTGTATAAAAGTGACATAGAGCCCTCTTTCAACCTGGTGATGCTTGTATTACACTGTCAGAATGTTAAACAGTGTTTATGTAACTATGACTATTTCCAGAGCTGCTTTCATGACAGGACCTTGTATTTCCACCAGGATATAATGTTTTCTTTTTTTCTGTTACAGTTTGATTACTCGACCTTCCACGTCTTCAAAAGAAAAACCTAGTCTTTTTCTTCCTGCTGTATCTTATTCATAGAGACACAAACAGGGTCACAGCGAGGTCAGATCGATCCAGGGCTTCATTCAGTCTGCTCAATGACTCATTCGACTAAACTTCCCTCAGTTTCAATTCAAAGTTTCAAGAACAATTTTACCAACGCATTAAATCACCAGATAATTGGATAATACACTAAATCAGTAATATTACCAATAACCGTCAATCTCTATGGCTGCAATTAAAGCCAACATGGAAGTAACAAAACATGTAGTCCCTTTTACGGCCATTAGAGGCTGGCTCCAACAGTGAGTCAATCTCCATAAAGCCCCATATTAAAATGTCCAACTTTACAGCAGAAATAAACATGTTTACAGCCTGGTAACCGGTTCATGACAACTGTACCACCCCCTTAAATTATATTAAGAATTAAAGTTATGCATAAATAAGGGAACGGTTGCTCCGACTGACAGATGGCTGTTTTTAGTACATTTTGGTTTCACATAGGACCAGACACCTGCCTTCAACCCCCTTCTGCACAAAACATTCCCTCGACCAAGACTCTGCATCTAGACTTGGATCACTGGACTAGCTCTATCTGGCTCTTTCACTCTCTTCCCCTGCTCTGCTTTAACCTCCGGCTCAGCCTCAACTCTCTCCCCACTGACTCAAAGGAGTCTGCTCCCCAAACCTTCCCTAACTATTGTTATAATAAATTCTTTTGCACTAACTCCCTGCCTCAGTGTCCTGTGTTGTGCATTTAGATTCATTCAGTTAACTGACAAATCCACCCCGACCACCACGCTAAGTGGACTTTATCGCTCTTTATAATGCACCTACTACTTGTGTGTACTTTTCATGTCTAGGCAAGGCA